TAATACACACTAGAATGTATCTCAGTTGTATATGATTTATAAGAATGCCATTAAATCGGCCACTGGCATTTTGTTCTGCCAACATGCAGAGTTAAGTATGTGTTTGGCGAAATTGTCAATTATTGGTCATTAAAGTAAACTGACATTTTTTATTATTATTAAATAAATAAAACATTGCACGCTATATTGTTTCTGTGTGAGATATTTTTGATTAATATAATTACTTTTAGTGCATCTCTTGGCATGCCTTTGCTCTGTGGATGCAGCCACTTGTCTGCTAAGGCCATGCACAATTTGAAGGGCTGAAGTTATCACAGATTACATCCTTTAGTTGCCATGTGCTTAATCATGATTTCATGATTGATTAATGCACTCAAACTCTTTAATATCAATGTGTTTTTTTTTTTATTAAACTGGACTTCTGACTAAACATGTTTAAATAGAGCCACTACTACAGAGCAAGGATAAACCATTAGAAGCACTAAATATAGAGATATGGCCTTACATCTATGCTATAAAACATGTAATCTTTTATTTTATCTTATAATAAAATGATTCTAGTTTTATTAATTTATTATTTGATATATTTTCATTCCCGCCTTATTAAAAATGGAAAAAACATCAATCTGTATTGTCCTTTAACGTCATCTTAATTCATGAATATGTATTTAAAGTTTATAGGAAGTTGTATTCAGTTTTATCACTATATTTTTAACTGGCACACTTAATCAAGTAAAGCTACAAAAAGTGAAGAGTGCCAAAAGTGCTCTAAAAAATCATAATGTGTTGTAATATAAAATGGTATACAGTCTCAATGGCAACATAACCAATATGGCACATTTCAATGTGTAAAACTGAAATGGGCAAGTCTTATATTTGACATTACTTTCCAAAACACCATGAAATCTGTACATGGGGGTACTTTTGTACTCATGAGACATTGCTGAATACAAATATGAGTATTTTAGAGCAGTAAAACATATAATGCTGATGATATCATTATTGAAATTGCAGTTTTTTTTAATGAAAAATGCCACAAAAAAAAATATAAATGCAACTTTTGGCCAGGGCTACTAAAAAAGACTGGACATACATAATTTTGAATACACATTGGGTTGTCTGCTTTTGCAAATGGTATGTCATGATGGCATTATTTTTCATTGCTGGGCCTGTCTCAAAGACAACATAACCAATTTGGCAAATTTTAATGTGCAGAAATGGAAACGAGCAATCTTATATTTGACCCTGTAACTTTCCAAAACCCCATAAAACCTGCATCTATCGCGGAACACAAATATGGGTGTTTTATAGCAGGAAAAGCTAACAATATTATGACTTTCACATTTAAAATAACATGCAAAAATAAGAAAATAAGATTTCTTAACTTCTCACACATTATTATTATTCAAATTAGGTTGGGTTTCATATATAAATATTTGATGTGAAATGAAATGTTTCTCCTGAACAAAATGATATATAATAAGTGTGGGTGCACTCAATATGAAAGAGGTAAATTAAGGCTGAACAGACATATAGTCAAATTCCAGGTTTTGCTTTGATCAGAACTTGTACAATTGCCTCCATCCTTAAGAGGATTAATGCACTTACGGTAAGTAAAAAAACTTAAAAACTACTCTTCTGTGTTACGCCAACTTCGCTGTCTCACAATACTTGAAGACTGTGCCTGTGTGCACTCTCTAGCTCCTAATGGAGAAATGCCATACATACCTGATTTTCTTGACAAAACATGTGAATCAAAATAAAATTGCCGTAGAGCCTGTTTTGCCAGTTTCGTTATATACATTTACTTATTGTAGGGTTCTGTCTTTTTACTTTTAATTTGCTTGGTCTTAGAGAAATTGCTCAATTGAAATGAGGTCCTGATCTTGTTTTTATTATAGAAACATAGAAACATATAATGTGACGGCAGATAAGAACCATTCAGCCCATCTAGTCTGCCCAATTTTCTGAATACTTTCATTAGTTCCTGGCCTTATCTTATAGTTAGGATAGCCTTATGCCTATCCCATGCATGCTTAAACCCCTTCACTGTGTTAACCTCTACCACATCAGCTGGAAGGCTAGTCCATGCATCCACTACCCTCTCAGTAAAGTAATTCTTCCTGATATTATTTTTAAACCTTTGCTCCTCTAATTTAAGACTATGCCCTCTTGTTGTGGTAGTTTTTCTTCTTTTAATTATAGTCTCCTCATTTACTGTGTTGATTCCTTTTATGCATCTAAATGTTTCTATCATATCCCCCCTATCTCGTCTTTCCTATACATGTTAAGACCCTTTAACCTTTACGTGTACGTTTTATCCTGCAATCCATGAACCAGTTTAGTAGCCCTTCTCTGAACTCTCTCTAAAGTATCAATATCCTTCTGGAGATAAGGTCTCCAGTACTGCGTACAATACGCCAAGTGAGGTCTCATTAGTGTTCTGTACAATGGCACTTCCCTCTTTCTACTGCTAATATCTCTCCCTATATAACCAAGCATTCTGCTAGCATTTCCTGCTGCTCAGGAACCATTCGGCCCATCTAGTCTGCCCAATTTTTTAAATACTTTCATTAGACCCTGGCCTTATCTTATAGCTAGGATAGCCTTATGCATATCCCACACATGCTTAAACTCCTTTACTGTGTTAACCTCTACCATTTCAGCTGGAAGCCTATTCCATGCATCCTCTACCCTCTCAGTAAAGTAATCCTTCCTGATATTATTTTTAAACCTTTGCCCCTATAATTTAAGACTATGTCCTCTTGTTGTGGTAGTTTTTCTTCTTTTAAATAGAGTCTCCTCCTTTATGATTTTAGATGTTCAACAATCCTTTCCTTTAACATGGTTTCCATTACTTTCCCTACTACTGAAGTAAGGCTTAATGGCCCATAGTTTCCCGACTCCTCCCTACTGCCTTTCTTGTGAATGCGTACAACATTCAATAACCCAATCATTTGGGACTATTCCTGTTAAGTGGATAAGATATCATTAACGTAGAGGTCGTGATTTGGTGCTCAAGGAGACTGTAATTAACTGTAGCTCCTGTTCTCATCCATGTTTACTAGGTGTGCATTTTTTAAATGTATTTTTTATATCAAAAGTGTGACATTTATGAGTTATGTTTTGCTGGCAAACATATAAATATGATATTGTTTTCTACAACAATATCCATGTATACCTACTGATGGTCTAAACATATGCTTAGGTTGCCAGCTTGGTCTGTGGTTAAAGGATTATATTGTAATGTTCACCCTTTTGTCAATTGTTAGGTTTCCAAATGTTCTTTTATTTCAACCACCAATCACATTCCAGTAGTGTGATTACATGATGTTGTTGTTTTGGATAATTATTATTTTATTGTAAAATTGAGGTAATTAGAGTGTAAAAACACATTATCTATCTATCTATCTATCTATCTATCTATCTATCTATCTATCAATATGTCTGCCTGTCTGTCTATCATCTATCTACATTTTTCTTGTAAAGCTCTGAAGATCTAAAATAAAAATTACCTTTTATAATGACACTTCTATGACCCTGGTGGTAGTAGCGTTTACATTACTTTTCATTATTATTTATTTCATAGTGAAATAACCTGAACTGACACAGCCATTACACATAATCAGATTCTGTATCTGCTTTGACTTTTGGGTATAAAATTTAATGTTCCAGCCCAGTAAACATTACTCCATGATGGTTTGTTAAAAAAGAAATGGGAGTCCAAAAAAATGAGCAGCTGTTTCTTTATAAGCTCTAAAATACTGTTATTAGAGGCCACCTGCCCTGAACAAAATCAATGACTCCTTTATGTAAAGCCAGATGTCATTTTTTTCTGTTGATCGCAGCAAACCCTTTATATAAATAAAATGTAAGAAAATAAATATACCCCTCTTTACATTATGTGCGTCAAAATTATAGGCTGCTTTTTAAAATGTTGATGACCTTAGACATTTGGAATTATTTTTAACATGATTAAGTGTACATTTTTAGTGCTGAGTGACATAGAAAAGCAAATTACTAAATAGTGCTCAGCTTTTTCTCTTGTGACATTGTAAATTGGGTTTCCGAGTTAACCATAAATGTAAAAAAAGACTCTAACTTGGGTAGAGGTATTATCATTATTAGTTAACTAATAATCATCTTTATTTGGCAACACAATTAATATATAATGCAGATAATATTGGAAGGTAAAGGAATGTTGCATTTTGAGCAGTCAGAAGAATATACATTTTTTATTCCTAAGCCTCACCACTGAATTAAATATTTGACAACTCACACTAATATAAATAAAATTGTAATAACTATTTTCCTATCTGTGTTGTTCTCACCTGCTGTCCAGTAAGAAATGTCAGTGATTTTTAAACCCTTGGTCAAGACCCACAGTTCAGTCATCACTTTCAGTTTGTACTCTCTAGATGTAAATATATAATTCAATCATCAAATAGCAATATCTGTACCACTTATGAAAAAGGGAAACCCATGAAACTACAAATATTCTTATAGACACGTACATTTCAGTTTCAAATTAACTTAAATTTACATCAATTGGTGGATAAACTGAATTCGGTAACTCTGAATTGCCATATGGACAAATAACTGAACAAACAACTTGCCCATTTGAGCATGTTTGTTTGATTTGTGATTTAGAATTCTATCTGTTGAGCCCAAAAAAAGAGATTGATGAGAAAAAATATGGTTGATTGTTAGAAGACTTTTACTATATGTTTATTTCAGTCACAGGTCAAGTGAGAAGTGACCAACAGAGGGTAAAAGCAAAAGCAGTAGGAGCGTGGCTTTGAAGATGCCAAGAGTGGTTGCATGTGTGCAGAGCTCTAGTGATTCATTGCCTTCACGGTCCAAAATAATTACCTGCACATCAGCAATCTGACATCAAGGGCATCCCAGACACCGGGGGCGTCATGGGGAAACACTCCAAAAAGCTCAAAACCCTCTTTGGGGTGAGAATTCAGAGCATCTGGGAACTCTTCCACATGCAGCCTAGGCCAAAGATGTTGGTGCAGCCTGACAATCCCAGCTCATCCTCCTCCAAGGAATTGCTGAGTGCTCCTCACCCAATAGCTAAAGCTGAACAACCTGCAACTCACTTACAGATGGAGGACTCGGGAGCCCCAGATACTAAAGACGACATCATGGTCAACATCCAGAACTTTTATTGTCCCATTTTAGTTCAAAGGCAAGCAACTTACTTTCTTGCAGGACTATATTGGAGAGGAGGTACTCAGTATAGCGGATCACGCAAGCTCTCAGAGAGAGTGGGGCCCATCACATACCCTCATTGCCACCAAAGACAAGCTTACAGCATCGGGAGTTTCTTATTTATTCCTCCCTGAGCTGGGTCTAAACAGAAAAAGGCCTATAAACCCAATGCAAGCAGCTCAGAGGATGTGTGGAATATAGTCTTCATGCCCCACTCAGGAGTGGATACTGGCTGATGCAGGCTAGATTATTTTTCATAAAAAATTTTTAGGCGACATACAGGCCTTGCAATTATTCATACATTGGTTCGAATGCTACTACAGTTATCTAAAGATTTTCTGTTCCTATCAGATGATTTTTAACATTATGCTTTCTCCTCACATTACAACAAATCTTTGAGTCCCCCCCCAACAAGCGACTCACACTAGTGTAAAATGAGCTTTTTGGGCCACTAATCTCCAAGGCCTCTAATGAGGTCAGTAATAGGGTGCACACCAAGACTACCACTCCCAGAACACTCCACAAGGCTCTTTTTGTTCTTGCCGAACATACTCAACCTAAGTAATCATTATTTCACTTATTGAACACAAAATTTTTTGTCCCTGTACTCTCTGCATTACTAAGTCTTATGTAGCATTTATCCTATGTTTTTCACTGTCCTCTTATTTGTGCATTACTTACAATATACTTTGATTTAATATGGCACAAGCTATACATTAAGAATGTTAAAAAGAAGCAAAAAACAGTAAAAAACATTAATGTATTTTATATTTAATAAATATGTAATCTAGAAATATATTGACACAGATTGTTTATTCACTGTTCCTCCTCTTTATACATCGGTTGGTTACATTGTATCACTTGATCTATGAACCAACTGGCATGAAAAAGCTCCTTCACTGTGTTAACCTCTTACACTTCAGCTGGAAGGCTAGTCCATGCATCCACTACCCTCTCAGTAAAGTAATACTTCCTGATAATATTTTAAACCTTTGCCCCTCTGATTTAAGACTATGTCTTCTTGTTGTGGTAGTTTTTCTTCTTTTAAATATAGTCTCCTCCTTTACTGTGTGTATTCCCTTTCTGTATTTAAATGTTTCTATCATATACCCCCTGTCTCATCTTTCCTCCAAGCTAAACATGTTAAGATCCTTTAACCTTCCTTTGTAAGTTTTATCCTATATTCCATGAACCAATTTAGTAGCCCTTCTCTGAACTCTCTCTAAAGTATTAATATTCTTGGTCTCTAGTACTGTGTACAATACTCCAAGTGAGGTCTCACCAGTGTTCTGTAATGGCATGAGCACTTCCCTCTTTCTACTGCTAATACCTCTCCCAGCATTTCCTGCTGCTCTATTACATTGTCTGCCTACCTTTAAATCATCTGAAATAATTAACCCTAAATCCCTTTCCTCAGATGTTGAGATTAGGACTCTAGCACTAACTCTAGTATCATCAGCAAAAATACATACCTTACCATCAAGACCTTCTGCAATATCACTAATAAAAATATTAAGAGAATTGATCCAAGTACAGTTTCTTGAAGTATCCCACTGGTGACAATACCATGCTTCCAGTACACTCCAAACATATACCATATACTACAACAATCAGCCACTGCCTTACCCATTCAACAATATTGGAATCCAAACTTAAGGATTGCAGTTTATTGATAAGCCTTGTATGTGCAACAGTGTCAAAAGCCTTACTGAAATCTAGGTATGCAATATCTACTGCACCACCCTGATCTATTATTTTAGTTACCCAATCAAAAAAAACCAATAAGATTAGTTTGGCATGATCTCTCTGAAGAAAACCCATGTGATTTTAGATGTGATTTTAGATGAAATCCATGTGATTTTAGATTTTCAACAATCCTTTCCTCCAACATGGTTTCCATTACTTTCCCCACTACTGAAGTAAGGATTATTGGCCTATAATTGCCCGACTCCTCCCTATTACCTTTCTTGTGAATGGGCACAACATTCGCTAACTTCCAACTTTCTGGGACTACTCCTGTTAACAATGATTGGTTAATTAAATCCATTAATGGTTTTGCTAGTACACCACTAAGCTCTTTAAATAACTTTGGGTGTATTCCATCAGGCACCATTGACTTATTTGGCTTTACTTTTGACAGTTGAATTAGAACCTCTTCCTCTGCAAACTCACATGTATCAAATTACTAATTTGTCCTCTTTCCTAACTGAAGTCCCTTTCCTTCATTTTCATCTGTAAATACTAAACAAAAATATTAATTGAGGCAGTCAGCTAAACTTTTATCCTCTTCTACATACCTTCCTTCTTTTGTATTTAATTACAACCTTTGCATGCAAGTGGCAAAGGAGATAAATTGCTTCCCTTGAACATGTGTAAGGTAAAGCTCTTGCATAAAACTCCAAAAACTTAATTCTTGTAATAGTCCCAGAGCCAAGCCATTACCTCAGTTTAAAACTTTGACATTATGGTTGGACGTTACTTGATTAGTAGCGATTACATAGAAAGTGCTATTAACCAGCTTAATGGTAATCATTAGACGTGGAGATTAGTTTTGGTCTGCACTGCATTTTGTCCAATACCATCATAATTTGAGTCAATTGGGTGACTGGTCCCCAAATTCTGACATGAAATGTAACAAACCAACGTAGCTGCTCAAAGGATGAACATGTTCATTTTGATTCGTGATTCAAAGTTCCATCTATGGTACCGATTAAAGAGTTTATTGATGGGAAAATAAGATTACAAGAAAATTGATGGCTAGAGGAAATTCACTAAATGTTGATTTTATTCACATATAAAATGAAAAGTGAGTAAGTAAGGGAAAAAAAGAGCAGCGGTAAAAGCTAAATCTATATTTATGTATTTATATAATAAGTATATAATTTATGATTATAGATTATTTTTTCTCACTTGAACCAAATGGAAGGCAAATACTCCTATCAGAGTACTGCAAACATATATACATAATAATACATTATGTATATATTTTTCAGTACACTGACTGGTCCATTTTCGTGCCTTTTTGATTTGTCTGATTCATTTTTTCTACCAAATTTTTCCAGCTGAAGTTCAGGTGCCCCAGGAAAATGTTCTATGGTTAGGAAAAATGGATAGCTGAACCCAGTGGTGGAACTAATGTTGAGAGAGCACTGATGCAAGAAAATATTTTGGGTGCCTCTCCTGCACAAGAGTGGCAAAAATATAGATCCCCATCTGTTGTATGACTTCCAAAGTTCTATACCATTTAGGGATCTACCATTTGCCCATACTTGTAGGACTGCATTTGTGTGTAGTGTATGTGCATTTGAATGTAAGAATGTTTTTGTATAGAATAGGTGTGTGCAGGGGCGTGGCTAGGACACAGAAGGGAGCAGATGCACGGCAGCTGAGCTCCGGCTGATAATCGCACTTATATACACACCACAGTGACCAGATACTCGATCCCGGCAGAAACAGAGCCCAAAGAACCCCTCACGAAATGGGGAAAAAGATTAAATGGCTCAAAGCCATGACCGGGGAACTCCTGCAACTGCAACCTAAACTCCTGCAACTGCGACCTAAACTTAAAATGGCAGTGCCACCCGATTCTCCTTCTTCCTACTCCGAAGATGAAGTCCTGATGCCCCTGATGAAATCCCTTGCACAAAAGGTACCATAGCCACACCACCAGCAGAATAACTATCATGAATAATATTAGGACCTTCTTTAATGCTGACCTCGATATTATCAGGGAAAACATCACAGAGATCACAGCCCGTGTGAGGGCAATGGAGGAACATGTCTCTACTATAGCCCACCAACAAGATAGCACCAAAGAGCAGCTACAACAATTACAGGTGGCCACCAGAGCGGTTCAGACCAAGCTGGACAAATAAGGGGTATCGCCGAATCGGTAAATGATTTAGAACTGCTGCACTTCTTACGTCGCCTCCTGGCTTCCCTGCTACCACAACGCTCGGCTAAAAGCATACAAATTGATGGCTGCTTACAACTACAGAAATAAGGCTGAAGCCACCCGGGACGTGCTTGTGCGCTTTTTACTAAACCGGGACAAGACGGCGGTGCAGGAGGCGATGAAAAATAAAACACCTTACCGCTTTGAACAGATGCACCTACTCTACCTACAGATCCACATTGGCCTGGAGAAAGTCCCTTCAGAGAGTCACCCTAACTCTATGTTCAGCAGGAGTCAAATACAAGTGGGGTCCCTCACGGACCTTACAAGCCACCAAAGACGGCCGCACTTACCAACTCACCTCCTGCAGATGCTAGAAGTGAGCCGAGTTGCTCATGGGACATTGCCAAAGTCATACCATTCATCCCAAGAGCTGCTGCTGATACCTGCTGAGGCCAGAGAGGCCACTCAGTAATATACACTACACGGGTCCGAGACCAACTGACCTATTTCATTTGAGTTATAATTTCAGTTGATGTTTAAAGTTTAGAGAAGTTCTGAGGTTGTTTTGACCTCATGATGGTCTAGTAAAAGTGAAGCTTACCTTACCTAGACAGTGAAGGTACACTAAGGGCCCACCCCACCCCTCAGCGCTCAGTAGTTAATGAGCGGTATTACCCCTTAGTACGTCAATATTGCAATCCACTACATTTATTACTTCACTAGCCACATTTCAGTTCAGGTGCTGACCTGTCAGGTCAGCCTGACCACATGGTGGCCTAACCTAGTTGCCTACCTCTAGTGGCTCTACAGCGTAACTCCCCCTCAGTCATGTACACCTAACATGTTGTTGTTACTTGATTTATTTTTGAAAAAGTGCAGTTTTAACATGTGACATTTTATGCTGCAACCATATTGATTCAAAATGTTTGTACCCTCGATAAGATGTCTCCTTATGCACACAAAAATAAAGAATAAAAAAAAAATAGGTGTGTGCAAGTAGGGTTGTATTTGTACGTACTGTTGCCATTGCAATGTAGTGGTGTACTTCTGTACTAGTGTTTTTGTTGGAATGCAGTGGTGTGTTTGTAAGTAATGTTGGCTTTTTAATTGAGGTGTGCTGTTATGTGTGAAGTTAGTGTTTGTATATAACTTTTAGCATTTTAATACAGGAGTGTGCTTGTATGTAATGCTTGCATTTGCATGCAGGGGTGTGCTTGGATGTAGTATTGTCTTTTAAATGCAACTGTACATGTTGTGTAGTATCAGGGTTTGAGTGAAAGGTGTGTTTGTATATCCTTTTGGAGTTTGAATTTAGTTGTGTGTTTGTAGGAAATATTGGTGTTTGCAGAAGTGTGTTTGCATTTTGTGTTGGTGTTTGATTGCTGGGTTATATGCACATACATACATACTTACACAGATATCCATACACATTAAAACACAGATACACACATATAGCACACTGACACATAAACACATGCATATATATACTCTGACAAAGAGACACACAAATACACACACTGATACATGCACACACTTTGGCACACAGATACACACACTGACATATACACACTGACACACACAGAGATACACACACTGACATATATACACACTGCCATATACACACACTTGTACACACACAGATACACACACTGACACACTGATAGAAAACACTCAAACACACACACACACACTGATATATACACACATATTGTAAATTTTTATATTTAGAGCCATCCTCCTGTTGTCTGCAGGATGTGACTTGCTTGGGATGCTGTTGACTGAGGCTGATGTGTGGAAGAACTGCAGCAGCTCACTGCCCGCTGCTGTTTGTGCCTCATTCACTCCATCACGGTGCTCTCTCTCTCTCTCTGGGAGGAAGGGATCGGCTGTCACGTCATCCCAGCTGTCTGATATTACAGGGGCCTGGTCATGCTCTTAAATGGCTGCAGTACCTGACTGACTCCTGCTTAGTAGTACCCATCGGGTGGCCCTACGTACATGTGCCTCCTGATAGCCCCCCCCCCATTCCTCCCCACTCCCCCACCCACAGCATGCAGGTCACTGTGCAGCTTCACTGACTGCACCGGAGGTAGTTCCGCCACTGACTGAACCATAGTTCCCCACCATCACCAAGCAAGAATTGATCCTGCTTTTTGTAGGAACTTTGCATTTATGTGCAGAGTGTTAGATAAGAATACATGATAAAAAATATGTTAAAAGCTTGCAGTCAACCAAGCTAATCTAACATTAGATATACATTTCTGAGGATCTGAAAAAAATTTGCTTGAAATGTTAATGTATTGTATATTTTACTATGAAATTTCATCTGTTAAACCCCTTTCATTAGATCTGAACTATGTGCAGTAGAACATTTGCTGAGTGTGACCTTTCTAAAATCATCGGCAATTCTTTCTCTTTGTCACACAGGATAATAGAATGTATCAGATACTTCCTGAAGACATTATAATAGAGTTCAACTGTCAAAGAAATACACTAATGAAAAATGTAAAATCCATCCTTTTTTAACAGTTCTCGCTAAAACACCTATCTGTCTGACAGTAGCTTTGGTATGCCATCCAAATCACTGTGATATGGTTGCCCTTTAACAGGAAAGGCATAGGAACATACAAGATCATACAAAAAAACAAAACCTCAATAGAAGGCAAACCTTTGGCATATTTTACATTTCATATAATACTAAGGCTTGTTTTTTTTCTAGCAAACCTATGCTAGTTATTATAGAAAAAAAAGATATGTTATTACATTTGCAAAAATACTTCCCCTCATTCAGAAGAGCTGTGAGGTTGGTTTCATATTCATCTTCTGTGTTAGATGTGGGTATCCCCCTCTTAAACCATGGCATTGTGGGACAATTCTGCTCTTGTTCACTAAATAAACAGTGCCTCTCCAAAATCACGCATACACCCGAAGTGCCCTATTTAGGAAGGATAGTCCCTATTTTTGGTCTAAATCCGTCTGTCTCTATTTTCTCCTCTAATGTCCCGCTTCTGTACTCTTAATGTGTCTTAATGTGAATTTATAGTTATACCAGAGTTTCACAACATTAATACAGTAATTTGTGTTGAAACTATAATATGTATGTCTGTGTAAATAAGATACATGGTTCTTGTCCTGCATTACATTTTATTGCATACATTGTTATGAGTAAGTCACCTAAAATTGATCAGATCAGCTTTGTCCCTCACCACACCTTCACTCCCAACCCTAAAATTAAAGTGACCCTCTTTGTCCATTTGTCCCATACTCCTCTCCTAGTTTCTATGAAATTACTTGAGAGAGAGAGAATCTGCAAAGAGGAGTGGGACAAAATTCTGTGCAAACTTGGTGGCCATCTACAAGAAACGTCTGACCTCTGTGATTGCCAACAAGGGTTTTGTCACCAAGTACTAAGTTGAAGGGGTCAATACTTATTTCCCTAATTGACATACAAATCAATTTATAACTTTTTTGTGTGTTTTTATGTTTTTTTTTTTTTTCTGTCTCTCAATGTTAAAATACACCTACCATTAAAATTCTAGACTGATCATTTCTTTGTCTGTGGGCAAACAAAATCAGCAGGGGATCAAATACTTTTCCCCCTCACTGTAGACTCTTTTCCAAAGGTTTTTTAGATGATCACACTGATCGCTTTTTACTATATTGCCCATAATGCTTTTAGTATGTGTTCAGGTCGACCGTCACATGCTGTTTTCCCGTGGAAACATTTGTATGCTATAGTGTGGATCTATAACATCTGTACCTTGTGGATTGTGCAACTCCATATTGCTTAATACAATTTGTAAGTAGAATTATTTATTTTATTTCTGCATTCACAATTGCAGTCTATACTGTGTTCTTTGTTTTTTGTTCTATGTTGCTGTGTTCTTCTTTTACATACCTGATAACATGCTGATTATATCCAATGTGGCAAGGTTCCCAGATTGTGGATTGCACCACTCCACACTATTACAAGAGAACCAATTTGGAGTCACTAATATCTAAGTATATATACTTAACTTTATATCACTATATTTGTTTGAGACCTTATTTCACCATAGAGCATCTATTGTTGTTTTACATATCTCATACACCCATAACATTATAAATCTATCTTCATCATCCATAAACGGCCACTCATATCTATTGAGTAGAGCTTATTTTAAACTCCAACTATTGCAAGTGCATCTATTTACCTTTTTTTGTGCTCAAACTTAAAGGAGCACTACAGTGCCAGGAAAACAAACTTGTTTACCTGGCAGTATAGGGTTATTAGGTCCCCCCCCTTCCTCAGGGCCCCCCTCACACTGGGCTGAAGGGGTTAAAACCCCATTCAGCCACTTACCTTGATCCAGAGCCAGAGTTGCGTGCACATTCAAACCACCCATAGGAAAGCATTACTCAATACTTTCCTATGGACGTCCAGCGTCATCTCAGTGTGATTTTCACACTGAGAATCGTGGAAGTGCCTCTAGTGGCTGCCAGGGAGACAGCCACTAGTGGCTGGATAAACCCTCAATGTAAACATAGCAGTTTCTCTGTTGCAAGTAATTAAAATCGTTGCTAGGAAGAGATAATCTTGGTTTGGATGACATGTTCGTATTTATTCAAGGGATTCTTTTAGCACTTTACAATTTAATTTTGTTTTCTAAATACTTAAAACTGCCTGTGCCACTCATTATGACCTCCACCAGGCATGGGACTATTGACAGTGCAGCCTGCAGGGGCTTGGAGCCAGACTTACCAGGGCCTAAGATTGAGAAGTGCACACAGCACTTCTCCTGGAAGGAGAGATGACTCAGTGACAGGGTGATTGTGCGTGTGTGTCAGTGTGTGGATGTGTACATGTTTGTCAATCTGTGTGTATGTGTGCATGTAGATAAAATAAATTAGTTCCAGGCACTCAGGATTGCTGAAGGAAAGCAGGTTTATTGTAACAAAAACTACAATGTTTTGGCCTACGCAGAGGCCTTTATCAAGCTATCACCATAGTGTCACAAGACCCTTTTAAAAAGGGTGTCAAATGTAACCACAATTAACATAATATGTGCAAAATTAATCGATTAAATAAAAACAGTCAGTCAATTATACATGAAATACATAAATATATATATATATATATATATATATATTCCAATGCAAAAACAGTGCATTCATAATTATTAAATTTAAAATAAATTACCTTAAAAGTTAATCCATGAAAAGAAACAAGAAAAGAAAAAAAAAAAGAGAATGGAAAAATAATTGATATAGCTAAATAAGGATAAGTGCTGCAATAGCCCCATACTTACATACACCTGAAAGGATTCCAAATAATGATGTCCAAATATGGCTATGGAGACTACATGATAATTTGCCAACCAGGTGACTATGTCTGTCGCCAATTGTAGAAGGAGGGATCTGGCCTAAACTGGAACAATACGTTAAATGCATTCACAAAAATGGTGGTTCCAACCGAAGCCAACACGGTCCAAA